TAGTTTTTATTTTTAAAATATTTATTGCCACAAGTTTAGAAAATAGAGGGAAAACATAAATAACAGTACATATAAACCCAGTATTTTGTCCCTTCTTTTGTTCACCAGTTATTTCTCAGGCACCTACTGGGTGCCAGCAACTGTGCTCAGTGTGGTGACCAAAACCCTGGTCAATGAGGCAGCAAGGTTCTAACCTTGTTAGAGCTTACGGTTGAGTAGCTGAAATTTTGATTTTTTTTCTGTGCCCCTAGTAAATATATGATAGCAAACAATAAGAGCTATTTTTTGGTTTATTGTGTTCTTACTCTGTGCTGGGCCCTGTTCTCAGTGGTTTGTAGCCTATTAACTCAGTTTGTTTCCCAGCACTCTGAGGGGAGGCTCTGTCATTCCCACTTGACAGATTGGGAAGTGGAAGCATCAGGAGGTTAAGCAACTTGTTAAAGATCACAAAATCAGTAATGGCAGAGTCTTGATCAGAATCCCGGCAGCCTGGCTCCAGAACCTGCCCTATTAATCAACGAACTGTACTGCCTCTCATAATACGTATCAAATTGAGATGATACTTTATAATTTCAATTCTTGCTTTTCTATTGAACAGTACACAGTAACATCCACCTATAATACCTATAAACCCCCAAAAGATGTAGAATTTTAGTTTATTCATTTGTCTGATAGGATCATAATGAAATAAGACTCTATAAAGCTGTGTAATTTAGACATAGGAAACATTTGGATTGTAGTGGTATGTAGTGGGAACAAATGGTCTTCTGAATCAGGAAGAGGTGAGTTAGAGTATGCCGGTGTACCTACTTACTCACTGTGTGACCTTGGGCAAGTTTCTGAACCTTAGTTTCCTTTCCAGGCTAATATCTGCCTTCTGAACTTGTTACCAGGATTAAATGAGTCTACCTACATAAAATGCCCGGCACAGTGCCCGGCGCTTGGTAGAGGGTCTGCTAATGGTTACTGTTATTACTGCCTATTAAATACATTTTAATTTTCTTTCAGAATAGCCAGATAGCACAGTGGTTAAGAATGCACATGAAAGCCAAACTGTTGAGTTCCAGTCCTGGCTCGACTCCTTCCTAGCTATGTGACGTTAGGCAAGTTACATAAACTCCCTGTTCCTCAGTTTGCATTTCTTTAAAACTGGATAGTTATAATACCCATGACTTAGAGTTTTTTGTGAGTGTTAAATTATTGTACATAAAGCTCTGAGAACAGTTTGGTACAGAGTAGGCACTGTGTGAACGTTTTCTATAATTATCAATAATTACTAAATAACATTTTCAGAAGAAGATAAGAATATTACACCTTAAAAAGCAGGTATCTTTAAATACTTCCTCGGCTACTGAAGTTTTGCTTACTATTTGATATATCATTTGTTTCATGTTTGTGGCTCAGACATGGCTTATGCCAATGCTTATTAAAACCTGAATTTTAAATTTGGTGATATTACTATATTTTATCTGAATGAACAGAATTTGCTGATTTGGCACTATGTTTGAATGTGCATTTTTTTTGTTGAAAAATGACGATTCTGGAATGCCCTTCTCCCTTTCCAGATTATTCAGAGCTGGGAGAGCTTCCCCCACGATCTCCTTTAGAACCAGTTTGTGAAGATGGGCCCTTTGGGCCCCCGCCAGAGGAAAAGAAAAGGACATCTCGTGAGCTCCGAGAGCTGTGGCAAAAGGCTATTCTTCAACAGATACTGCTGCTCAGAATGGAGAAGGAAAATCAGAAGCTCCAAGGTTGGTTTGCCATCTTGATATTGAACAGGCCTGGTCTTATCTTGGCTCTGAAGTGAATCACATCAGACATAAGCATACTGTCTTAAAAATATAGCAGCATG